CCCCAAAACCCCAAAACCCCAAAACCCCAAAACCCCAAGGTTAATCAAATTGAATATTTTCATGATAAATAAGGGCAATTATTCAGCTGATTTTTCACTTACTGACTTTAAACTAGGCCTGATAACCCTCCTCGTGCTCTTAGCAATATTTGACTGAGAAGGATTAATAATGACAACAGTAGTGTTATCAACCCTTGAACCATCAGTTTCATTATGATAACTAGCAAAACCTATACTTTGGCAACTAGGATACATACTTTTATTATTGCTACTAATCTTGTGAAATAATTCAGCAGACTGCTTTAGAGAATATCTCTTATTCTGGTGCTTAAGCGCTTCATTCTTCTTCAATTTCTTAGGCCTATATCAAGTTTAGATTTTGAAGTTACCTCAATCTTCTTCTGCTCTTTTTCTTCTTGATCGTTCTCAAATTCTTTGATTGGAAAGTAAGCAATTTCTTTTCCTCAATTTCTTGCTTGAACTGACTTCCATTCTTTCACAAAGCAAAGCTGTAGATCCTCATGAAAGTGACAAAGCATGGATGCTTATAGTCTAAGTATCATAACACCAGGTAAGCCCAATTTACTAAGAAAAATGTGTTCACTGCAAATAGCAGAACCAAACTCCCGTAGTATACAGAGTTCAGCCTATCTTCATCAGTTACAAACACCACTGTTCAGTAGAGAGTCATTATACCAGCAAAAACAGCAATTACTTCTATTTTGTTGTTAGAGTCTTTCTTGTATGGCTTCAGCCTTTCCTGAACTCTGATCAAGATCACAAGTGAAACTAAACTTTTAAACTCAGAACTTACTGATAGCTCCTAGAATTCTATAATATGGGTCATATGTGCTTAGGAAAACGTTGAACAAGAGCACAAAAAACTTCCTGAGAGTATTAACAAACTCCCAATAAAAAGCATCCTTCTTCAGCCCTTGGTAAAGGATCAACAAATACTTCTGTTGCTGCAAACCATCGAGGGAGTCTCTCTTCTTGAATAAGATTATAAAGGCTAAAAAGGGCATTCCGATAACCCAAATGATCAAGATAGGCATCCCAACTAAGAAAATCCACCGGAGGTGATCTCCTGAGTAACATTTATAATCCATGTGCATCATCATCCTGGAGTCCCCGTCGTCCACTATTGCTCACTGGAACACTTTCAGGGACTGGAAGGTCATTGTTGGGTGAAAGATAAACACAATGCAAATAAAACTAATAGCGATGTATCTCTTCAGGTCATGCTTCATTTGAGGCTTATATAAATGCATTACTCCTCTGTATACAAGTATCCCTGCAGAGACGATGATTAACAAGATAATTGGAAGGAATAAGTACAATGTCAACTTGAAAAGCCCATTTGATGGAGCAAAAATCCGAATCTCATTGTTCTCAATAAAGCAATCGAATGAAAAGAAAGTCCTCTCAGGGGAATTCACTCTGTCTGTTTGCGAAGACATGTCTGAGAACAAATTTGGATATTTTATATTGAATGAGAGGATTGCAGCTATCAATTGAGTGTAGTTGGTAAATATTCTCATCAATATCGAGAATTGATTCTCACTCTTCTTTCTAATGTTAAGAATTATGATAAAGTATATGAACCCAAGGGAAACAATCTGGAATGCTACAAATTCAATTGCATTGACTAATTTAGATGGACACTTCAGGCATTCATGATTCGATGATGGTTGATACTTTTCTCCATCTACTATTGAGCACTTTGAGCATAAAAATCCTTCGTACCCCTTCTCACAGTTTATAGGATGTTCATTGTCAGGATTAAAGCCCCCAAGACATGATCTCTCCCTAAGTCAGTGGACGACATGACTGGATGTTTGGCTTTTTCTCCAATATCCTGGATTGATCTCAACCTGATCTTTTCCAAATCACTCAGCATTTGACATGCATGCTTTTCAAGATGTTGAATTCCATTCCAAAGAGTACGTTTTGATGCTACACTCTCTTCATTGCCCTGCTTCAGTTTCGTATTCACCAGGTTTACAGTACCTGAAATCAACCACAAATCCAGACTTCTCAACCTTCCTCAAAGGATTGATTACTGAATCAGAAAGGGAATTAATCTTATTGTAATCTATGTGTCCTGATACAACATTATAAATAATTTTCTGAGACCCTGGAGTGGCAACGAAGTTGAAATTGGACAAGTTCGCAACCCCATTGACAATCAGAGCATTATCGGTCCCTCCAACTAAAGTAAGGTTAGACAAAGCCAGTTCCATTTGGCCAATCCACAACAAGAAGAACTCTAATCTAACAACTAAATTGCAAACATACCATAAATACTGGAATCTGATCCTTCAGATCGCATCTTAATAGAACTCGTACCGATCAGATTCATAGTTTGGTTATCATAATCAACGATTCTAACCTCATAGCTATCTTTTATTGATATTGAACTCCCAACGGAGCTTATACTGATCCTGTTTCCCCCAGTTCTTGAGAACAAAATGTTGAATGGATAACTAGCGATGTCCTTCCCATAAGGAGCAATGTTATTGAAAAATTCCAGTCCTTCCATCACAGGCCTGTTCATGTTGTAATAGATCCCAGCCCCTTGAACGGCAGCAGTGTTTGAGTCAAAAATATTGCGGCTTAGATTGTTTATGCACTGATGGTTTATATCACAATTTATAGCAATAGCAGCTCCGATTTTAGCTTTGTTCTGACTAAAGAGAGAATCCTGGAGAGTGATGTTACTTCTAACCACATATAGAGCACCGCCTTGTTCGATGTTAAAGTTCCCACACTGCTCAAATGTAGAATTCCTCCAATCTTTAATGAGTGAGTCAGAAACCAAGAACGCATAGGAGCAATTTGTGATTGAGATGCGGTTAAATAACTCAGCTTCACTGGAAGAGAAATCCATCACATTATTAGATATTTCAGATATTTGGACGTCCTCCAATAATTGAACATCAGATTTGTGAATATTAAGTAGAGCGCTACTCGGAGATATTGACTTAAATGTGCTATTCTTTATAGCAATACCACTGCTCGAGATGACTCTGAACAGGTAGCTTATATTACTGATTTCTTGAGCTTTAAAATCAGTTATAGTCAAGCTTCAAAAAGAACTTTTCATAAATTGTGCTTGAGACCTCTCATAATGAATTCCGTTCATTTTCACTTCTGAGTCTAGTGCATTCAAAATATCAAAATTTCCTGTCATAACAAAATTATCAACAGTGATGTTTGTCATGTCAATACTTCCTTGAACAGAGACAATGAAATCTTTTTGAGTTTGAATATCTATCATTTTGACATCTTCCATTTTAACAAAGGAATCGACAGCTCTGACAGCCATGGCTTGATGAGAGAAAATAGTACCATTGACTATGTCGATCTCTCCCATCAGGGATATCACAGCTGCATCAAAAATCATACCGTCTGAGCTAAAGTACCAATCACGGGATAGGATTCTCCACACGAATTGTGGATGAAAATGGGCTATAAAATCACTTCGCTTAACCTACATTGCTTCATAAGGGTGTTCCTTATGTAATCCTTTGACAGAGCGCTATTGTTACTGATTCTACAATTATTGAATATGCTCTTCTTCTCAGCAAGAGACAAATCAATAACTGGAATTGTGTAAGCATGATTATCCGTGATCTCACTATCGAAAAATTGTGCTGAAGCTCCAACATCAAGGAAGGCAACACCGTTGCTTACAGCGAAGTTATTTGTGATGTTTCACCTATGAGGAGGGTCAGAGATTGCTCGATTTAAAGTGTTGGTGAGAAATATATATTTTAGTGAAATAGATTGACATTACCTTATTCATTGCACAGACACAGGTCTAGGGAGATGGAATAAGACAGAAGTTATTGCTGAATTTTGTGTGATAAGAGTATCAGTAATGATAACCTCAACATTAGAACTATATCCCCAAATAATAGCTGCATTATAAACAGTCGTTACTCTCACAAACCTTCAGTTACTAATTTCCAAGTCTGCATTAGTCAAGATCCCGATCAAAGAACTATATAAAAATAACCACACCACTTACTAAAAACTAAGGTACCAGTCTTCAACAGTGACATTCTCAAATTTGACTCTTGTCCGGATCCCTGTTCCTTTCTGTGCAACTGAAATATCAATTGCGCCTTGAGAGATATTTCTGAAAATGCTATCGTTAATTTCGAAAAACTGGTCAACTTTCTGTGCGAACCCGATCATATTGACTATTCTTCCAAGACTTATATTCTCCATGACCAGGCGGTTGTAGACCACCTTGAAGATTTTGGTTGAAAAGATCTGACCGCTTTCGATTAGGTAGCCTGGATTCGGATAGTCCAAGTCGCGAATCACCAAATCGTTCAAAGTAATGTACTGGTTAATATCCACGAGTTGTTCAGAGTTGTGGATACTGACAACCTTGTTCTTACAATTAATCACTTCCACAGAGTTGAACGTTGTGTTTGTCTCCAGAGGCGAAGACATCTCCCTCAGATTCAGCAGGCAGTTACTTGTGTCAGAGTCTGAAGCAGTCGAAGCATTCACGAACAAGAGAGAGCTGAAAGTAGATGTCTTCGTGCTGAGGAGTTTTATGTACGAGGAAGATGCACTTGAAGACACATTTTTGATGCTCATGGAGGTCAATAGGGTCTCTCCGTATGGATTTGTAAAGCTTAATAGGGTTTTTAGATTATGAATACTACCTTCAAGGAAGTTAAAATCATCGATCTGTAGCTTTCCTGCTCCAGAATTGACGAAAGTGATCAGGTTTACTCTTCCTGCTCCAAGAAGATGGACATTATTTAGACTTGTTGAGTTGAATACTCCTCCATCCATTGTTTCGAAATGAACTAGGCCGTTCTGGAGCATTTCAATGTTTGTGAATACATTGTTATACATGGTTGGACCTAATAAGTTAAGATTTGAAGTTACTTTGTCACGCAGCAATCTTGAAGATCTCAAGTTTGGTAGTCATATTAGTAAATGAACTGTTGTAAATTTCTCACTCAGAGAGTCCGTTGCCTTGGATATTGATCAATTCCAAGAAATTTACTTGGATGTTTGAGAACTCCAGATGATTCAGTACATACTTAGCATTTTGAGTACTTGTTGGATTTTCACTATACAACAAAAATAGAATTGGATTTTCGAGCCAGAGGGACCCAATTAAGTGTAAAAGCTTTCATCTATCGCCCACCTCAAATGAACACCAAAGTACATATCCTCGGGTGCATAACCCCAAGAAGGATCACTGCCTATCTTAATATCTTTGAGGCTGATAATTCTCTGTGTCATTTCGCTCGAATCTCATGTTTGATCAGGTCTCAGCAAGAAATTAAAACCATTTGCACCACTGTCTCCATAAAACATTAGTGTAACATTCTCTACAGAGACATCATGGCCACCATTCTGCACAAATGGGGGGAAATTTGTTGTCAAACTGTCAGGAGGATCTATTCAAAATAAAACATCTCTTACCTTGAGAGAAGTAAAACTTTGTATTTGAGACACGAGTTGAGATCGGCAGCTTCGCCTGCCCTTGTATGCATGAAAGCAGCAAATTAAACCCTCCTTGGGACTTATGTAAATCAAATTCAGAATTGGCCACTTCTAAACTCATTTGTTGCGAAGAGTGCAAGAATCTTCCTGTATGCAAAATGTTCGATGATGCTATTGATACTTTTCTGTCTAACAGCTGAATTGGGTTCAAAAAGATTTTGTTAATCCCAATATTCGAGTACTCAGTAGAGATGTATAATTCATCTAGCTGAAGACTGGTTTTAAATAGATACAAGATGCCATTTCCTGAATTCAGTACTAAATCCTTGTCTTCAGAGGAAATCTGTGAGTCCGATGAGATCTGACCCAAATAATCCACTTCAGAAGTGCCTAAGAGATGAGAAAAAGTCTTACTCAGTAAAGTAAAATGGGATGGTAACAAAGCTGGAGCCTTATTGCTTCCTTTCTCGATTCCCACAATTCTAAAAAGGTTAATTTAAAATTTTAGAAAAATACTTACTTTGCCTTTCTAGTCTGAAATTCTTCAGATGAGTATGACCTTATCGCCACTTTATTTATCTCGATTAAGAAAGTTCCTTCTTTAACATAGTTTGTGGTGTCTTCAAACAGGTTGATTACAATTTCCCTCTCTGAATGGGAATGAAAGTGGAACAGCTCCATAAACACAGAATTCAACTCTTTGTAAGGATGCTTTAAAGTTCCTAACTCCGTAGTACTATCACTTAGCGGATTGACGTAATAGTTAAAGCTTCTACAAACAGGAATTCCGCCTAACTTAGTATCATCGATAGCAATCTGAGTGCTTGGATCACAAGCTGAGACACATGAGTATGTGTCTAAATCAAAATATTCTCCAGATACACAAGTATAGCAACTCATCTGATATGCTCATTGGTATGATCAACTGCCTCCGCAATCGACACAAGATTCTGCAGATTTCGAATAAAATTGGCCTAAAATTACTCAAATAAGATCTTTCCTAGCCTTCACAGTCCCAACCAAAGACTCAATTTTCTACTCTAAACTTACCTGAAGATCACTGTGGGCCGTCACAAAGGCCAGTTGTACTATTCACTATAGCCAAGATTAGTCCCAAAATTACTGACAAAAAATTATTAAAAAATCTTCACAAAGTGCACAACAGCGAAAGAATATTTATGCCAAATTTCTTAAAGACTTACTAGTAAATCCTGGAGCTCAAATAGTACAAGCCGAGTAGCTGTCTCATGTATCTCAGCTGGGGTGGCATGATCGTCATGAGAACTCATCTTCAAAAAATCCTGAACTTCACTAGAAATAACAGTTAGAAAACTTGTTATTAAGACTATTTCCCAAAAATTGAGAAATCGTTGCTGGGCTCCAAAAATATGCACAAATTACCCAAATTTATCAAGAAAAATTAAGGGCATATTCTGAATGGCTCCCCATAACGTTTTAGAAAAACTAAGATTAGAGAATTATGACATATTTATTTCAAATGCAATACATAATAAATGAACAATTTTAAGAAGGCACCACATATACTAAAACAGCATAAATATTATCTAAAAATGTAAGCAAATCCTTCTGTGGTTAACTTTACCCATCTCTGAATAATTTAAACAGTGAAAATATAGTTATCTATTCCTACATAAAATGTGTAGCATCTTTTATGTATTAAAATGTCTTATCACCTCACTTGTTGCTAAATAACCCCCAAATTTTGGACTGGTAGAATTAGCACAGTGATCGTTAAAATTCAGAAAAAGTTTGCCTTTTCATGCCTGATAAATTATAAAAGCCTAAGAAAGAATATGTCGTTAATTCTAGAGTTATGGGCAATCCACATAGAATTTGGAAGTGGATTAGAAGCTCTACACTGGTAGAAGAATAAAAGGTTTAGGAGAAGCCTTAGAACATATAATTATGGTAAAATACAAATATTTTATAGCTCATTGGATTTGTATAGGGAGTTAGGAGAATTAGTCATCTTCTTTCTTTGGCCAAGGATTAATAATAATTTTAATTAATCAAACACTTCTTAAATATTGATAATCTATCTCTTGGACTTCTTTACCACTCAAAAAGTTGTTTAAAGCTCTAAATTACCCAAAAAATATCTCTTCCAACCTTAAAAATATTGCCAAAACTCTGAATCCATTACATAGCGAAAAGCAAGATTAAAGGCAAGGCCAAGAAGAAATTTAGCATGCTACAGCTCAACCATGGGGAAGTACAAGACTCAGAGGAATTTTAGGAGGTTTGGGGGTCTGCAGATAAGCTCCCTGCTCCTAAGTTATGAAGGAATTTTGGCAGACAACTTAACTATATTTGCTAGCATCCTAGTTTCACTTTCATTTTAGGTTAAGGCCTCGGGATTCGAAGAAATTGTAGCCTCTAAATTTTGGAAGAATCTTATAATCCATATCTAACAGCTGTAATATTTGAAATTTCTAGGAGAAATCTAATGAAGAATAATAGAAGATACAGTAATTAAACCATATAGCTTCCGGAGAAATCGGAAATATGATTGAAATTGTAGAGTTCAAATACTGAAACATCTTTAAAGCATAAACAACAGAGCCAGGCTTTAAATGAGATAGTATTCTTGATTAACAGGTTACTTACCGCGAGGGAGAGATGAAGTATAAGTTTTACTAGGATTAAAAATCTTAATCAAAACTCTCTTGTTATTTTCATATTTATTATTAATGTCTCAAATTCCATCTATAAATATTATTCAGGGGTTTTGGGGTTTTGGGGTTTTGGGG